CTCAAACACACACACACAAGCACACACACACACACACACACACACACACACACACACACACACACACACACACACACACACAGAACAACCTTGATTCTAGATCTATACACACATAGTTACAGACACACACAGTCTTCTCTCTGTCTCTTCTCTATGCACACACTATAAATAATCACATTATACCAGAATTAGAAAATATAGGCCTAGAGATCTCTAGATCTAGGTCTATGTTGTGCGGGATAATCCAGGTTTTTGGCCCCAACGATAACTGTGGAGTGTTCGGTTTTGGCTCCACCGACGATTACTTCTGGTTCTTTATTTTCCATTTTTCGTTGCATATATAATCTAATATATATCATGAATTTGATGAATTATAGATCTCTAGATATAGGCCTATGCTTAGGATTATGTGTAGATCTAGATCTATGTCAAATATTTAGTTGTCTACGACAACTGATAGCTAAATTTCTTCCTCCTCATGTTGAATCTTTGCATGCTGTTTTTATTTTTGTTTCCTTCTTCGACATCTCTGTCAGTACATCTACCAAGTATCAATCTATCAACTGAAATCTTACTCTCTCCCTATAGCTATATGAAACCAAAATATAATCGTTTCGAATTTCAACAAAGTGGGTGGTTGGCAGGTGCTGTGTTGTATTTTGTTCCTTTTTTGTCATCTCTCCTCCTTTTCTTTGTATGTTGTTCTCTGATATATGTAATGTCTAATTTTCAGCACTTGTATGACCTAATTGTGGTGCAAGTACCATAAAACTCTAACACAGAAAACCTCAAATATCAATTTGGTTTTCTTTTTCTGTTCTCAGAATGATGTCTGACGCTGTGCCAGTAGCTGAGACTGGAGAGGACAGTCTGTTGGTGGAAAGGTTAGCCGCTAAAACTGTCTACACAGCTGAACTCCTGGAAAACACAGTGCACATCGCTGAACAGTTACAGAAAGTTCAAGGGCGAGTAAACCGGTATGTCCGACAGGCAAGACTCATCGTTACTTGGAAGAGAAGCTCTGGGCTTTTCACCATGGTTGGCTCGGCAGCTAAGACAGCAGGTAGCGTCATGGTTTTGGCTTCGCCGTTACATCCCAAACTGGCGGTGGCGTTGAAGGCAGGTCACAGGCTGTGGAAGCTAGGCACAGGTCTCAAGGTGCTGACGGCCATCGGGGGGATGCTGAGGGAGCTCTGGCACAGCGGCTGTCGTGACACACTGGTGGAGTTCACACGCTGTGTCGCGCTGCTCTCAAGAAATGTCGGGGTCTTTCAGGAACTGATTCAGGACCTACAGGGTGCAACAGAGCAGCTCAATGCCAGTAATAACAATAACTTCCAAGCGCCAGATGCCGTTGTCAATGTTTTGAGAGAGTTCATTCCTCCACAGCACATTGGCTATGCCACCCATGTCATGAACATTGCATTTGCCCGTCAACACTATTCACCATTGTTTGATTTACTTGCTTTATCCAGTGACCCGTCTGAGAAATCAGATTTGCTCCAAGTTGTAAGGGAAATTGAAGGTTTTCGTTTCACAGAATTTTCACAGGAAAGTGATGCAAAAGCACTTGTGGCTATTGGAAGCTTTCTACATATCAGCCGGGAGCTTTTGGATTTTCTTGACGGTTTCAATAAGGTTACAGATAAAGACTGCCAGTTTCTTCATAACTGCCTCAACAAATTTTCTGAGGAATCTGCGGGCATAATGAAAGTTGTCTCTCTGCTCACTGGCTTGCACAGGATGAAGCATAAGCTTGAATCTCCCACTCCCAGCAGTGACACGGCAGTTAAGAAGATGACAGACCCAGGTATGCTGACACAAGCTTCTGACATGCCTTTAACGCAAAGGGAAAACGATGAGCAGCCTATGGACACAGGAGTTATGGACACTTCAGAAAGAAATAGTAATAATATGGTGGATGTTGCTGAGCCCTGTGAAAAGTCAAATGAAGTGGGGTCGTCTATCAAATTATCTGAGGCCGGCCAGGATGTTGTGGGAATGGAGCTGACCAGTGACAAAGGGACAGAGGTTAATGCCTCAAGTCGTTCAGACCTGATCGCAAGAACCATCAGAAGAGCTGAAATTGTGGCAAACTCCAAAGACTTCATTCTAAAGACATTTTCAACAATGACTGTGGCTATGGAGAAAGGAACTTCGTATATTTCATCTTCTATGATGATACGGAAAAGAAAGAAAGAATCTTTAGACACTGATGGGTCCCAGTTCATGGAAGGGAAGGAATCGTCTAACCAAATCTGAGAATTTTGAGTTACTTCAATTTTTTTTAAATCGATAATTAATACAAAAATATTTTGAAATGTCAGGGGGGGGTTTTCTTCTGTATGTTCATTATTCTACTTCAAGGATTAGGTTGTAAAAGAATTTCTTACTCTGTTTAGCTTATTATAGTATAGTAAGTGGACAAAAAACATTGGAGTAACCGGTACTCGTTTTTCTTTTACAAGGATGATTTGTTCTTTTGTTTTTACTTATTTAGATTAAAATCACATAGATGTGGTTATGTTTATTTCAAGCCTGATATAATGGATTTTTACTTTCTCCATTCATTCCTTCATTTTAATATGAGCATATTTTGTACCAAAAGAAAATGTTAATTGTGTGAAATTGTTTGGGGTTTTTTTCCCTTTTTTTGCACATAGTGATTCCCTGTTGAAAGGTACAATTCTCATCTGGTGACCTGTTATATTATGTTTATTAATTTTTTATTTTAAGGATTAACAGGTTAGGATCACATCATGTAAGCTATATTTTTTAATTTTGAAAATTTATACTCAGTATAAAAAATCTTGTGTTTAGACTGTCCAAATCTTTTCAGATGGATGTTGTTATGCGCATCTCAGGTGCTCTGTGTGAGCCAATTTAGCCATAGCATTGTTCTACTTTTCGAAAATCAAAACCACTCTGGCTGTATTGACGTACAGTGCAATGTTGAGAAATCATCACATTCTTTATAATGAAAGGCTGTCTGGATCTGGAAATTGTGATCTTAGCCCCTGTCCTCTGGATAATTGTGTCCTTACTAAGCCATCAGTTTTGGAATTTTTTGTGTAGAGAACATATACTGAACACCAAAAGAAACGCAAGTAAGCAACAAAAGAAACGCAAATAGATTTCTGGTGTAGAAAAGGTTATTTTTATTGAAATTGTTTAACAGTTGTGAGATTTTTTTAGATGTTTTACTTTCGAAAATATGATTTTCATTGAACATGGACGAACATCTTCGGTGGTATTTTTTTATCGACTCATTAATATCACAGTAATCTTAAACACATGTATGCACAACACGAATAGTCCATTTGACACAGTTCAATATCTTGTATGCCCTCCTTGGGCATCAACAACAGCTCGACACCGTCAGGGCATAGAGTGCATCAGTCTGTTGACGGTAGTCAGCTGGATGTTGCCCCACGCCTGTTGAATGTTCTGCTCCAGTTGTGCCGCAGTGGCTAGCCTTAGCTGAATGTTGTTTAGTTGTCGCTGGAGATGGTCCCATAAGTGTTTGATTGGGTTAAGGTCAGGGCTGAGTCCTGACCATGGGAGAGCTCTAATGTTGTTCTGCTGCATGAATGCCACAGTTCCCTGTGCAGTGTTCGGGCGCGCGTTGTCGTGCTGGAACACCAAGTGGTGGTGTTGCTGGGCGTAGGGGAGGATCGCCTTCTTAAGCACCATGCTGATGGTACGTTGGCCGTTGATTCCATTGCCACGCCCGTGTCTGAGGTTTCGGAAGACAACAGGGCCGACCAGGAGATTTAGTCCAATAGCAGCCCAGATTATGACACTAGGGCCACCCAAGGCGTCGGCTTCCATCATGTTGATGTCTGCGTAGCTTCTGACTCTTCTATCCGCGTTGCTGATGCAGAATCGACTCCCATTAGAAAAGAGAATGTTTCTCCATTGCCTCCATGTCCAATGAAGCCGATGCTGGGCCCAGGCTAACCTTTGTTCTGTGTGGCGGGTAGTGAGGACTGGCCGACCGCAGGACGACGGAACCGGAGTCCTCGGGTCTGAAGTCGCCGCATGGTCTGGCCGGATATCGGTCGTCCGTGGCTTCCAATTGTTCCCCTTGCTGTTTCGGCTGCAGGCAGGAAACTGTCTCAGTGATGACGGGGCGTAATCAGTCGATCTTGACGTGCAAATGTGACCCATGGTCTTCCGCTTCTGGCCAATTATTGGGTGCTGCCGGTTGTTTGAAAACGTGTCCACAGCTTATAAACTGTTGAAAAGGACACATGAAATGTGATAGCGACGTCAGTACGGCTGTCCCCAGCTTGTGAACGCCCAAGGGCTCTCTCTCGACCTGCAACGCTCAGTCGTGGCATCTTCTTGGCGGTCAACTGCTTCACTGGTCAAAGCGTAGCGGTGTGTCTTTTTTTACCCTGATATGCCATGAACACTACTCACGAAAAAAAATTCACTCACCTCTGTTTTCAATCACGCATTGCAAAAAGCACAAACTTTTCATTGACGGCCTTGCGTGAGCTTAAGGTGAGTACTTTTCAATCAGCACTCACAGACTACACTCAGGGGATCTAAACACCCCAGGGGCTTGTACTAGTTTTTATCTGAAAAATATTTTTCTATATATTTTAGGTTGAAAATCGATCAACCTAATGACTTGCGTTTCTTTTGGCGTTCAGTATATTCAGTGGAGTCTGCTTAAACACAGTAAATCTGAAAACAGCGGTAAAGGGAAAGACAATAAAATCCCCTATATTTTTCTTCGTTCCCTTTGTAAGAAAACTATCGCTTAGCCGATTTGCTCCTATTTCTAAACCAGATAGAATCTTCACTAACAATCCTCAAGTAACACAAATCGTCAAGTCTTATGCACTTCAAGATATCAAAACAGGTGAAAGTGACACGAGAACGCGAATAATGCATTGATTCAATGATTGCAGATCTGCGAGAGGCATCATGAATGTGCTGTTTGCCTACATTTATCACACACATCAATAAGCCTATATATACTTCACACTGCGCCTAGTGCCACTAGTGGTGTGAGAATAACGGTAGCGAATGCATGTCATACACAACCCTTGGTTAGTCGTGGCAAAGTTAGTTCAAGACTGGCGTGCCGTAAGCTGACAAAATGCCTTTTTTTATTTACAGCAGTTTCGAGAAAAAGAGTTTTTTAATTAGCATAACATTTAAAAATAGTGTTCTTCCAAAATTTATATATATAATTCTAATTTATTAAAAAACTAGTCACCGTTTACTTTGATTTTTCCACACAAATAGGAATGCGTACTGCCTGTTGCTCAAATTGCAGTCACTGAAAAAAAAAGTAGATCTCTAGATGAAAATTACTCTTTCACAAAGTGAAATTTGCTGCATGCATGGCACTACAACTTTTTGCTTTTCACAATCATCACTTTTTGAGCAACCCTCTCTAAAAGGAATACCCAGCTAAACTAAAGAAAATTTGACCGTCCAGTAGATTTCGGTTTATGTGGACTACACTGTACCACAGTATACTGATAATATGCTCTTAGTATCTTAATTCACTAGGCATACACCACCATACTTCTTGAGTCATGCTCCATCATGTGAAATCTGCCTACTGCTGAGGCAGAATGGAGTTTTGAAGATCTACTGGCAAAAGCCACTAGAGTAATTACCTGACATCACGTGGAACCAGTCCAGACCACTGAATACATGATTGTCTTGTACATATGTGGCAGTTAAAACAGTTTCGGTGGTACAATCAATGGAGTCGGCTTAATTTAAAACCTAAATCTCTGGGACTGCCAGATTTTCTTTAGTTTGGCCGTGTTTTTGGTTTAGAGGGGTTACTCAAATGGAAGAAAAAAAATATGGGATTTTATATTCATTTGGTTTACTGCTACTGGTGCTACTGCTTTCAGATTAAATGTGTTCAATTTAAGTGCAGACCCTCCTTTACATAATATTATACTATTGCGGAAGCAGACTCTCCTTTACATAATATACTATTGCGCTAGCCGAACAATCTCAGACTGCATGCTCATCTGTTGTCACAACGCCTCTGGAGCACAGTTCTTGTGACGGGCTATTATAACTTAGTAATACATGATGTATTGTACACTTTTATTTTTAAACATCTTTTTATTAGGTTAGTTTTATTTTACTGTTTGTCTGGTATAGTGGTGAAATCAAGCAATCGTCAAAATTTAATAATTGAGGAAACGGATGTTTTCTGCTCGTTGAGCAATTTTTTTTTGTTGAGTTTTTGTTTTTTGAGTATTTTTTTGCTCATCGCCTTATACTTGGACTTCCATTTGATACCACTTTTATGTGAGTAAATTTTATTTTAAAATGTTTTAAGGCACAAGAAATGTTAATTTGCAGTTTCCAAGGAGACTCAAGCTTTGGAAGTCACCAAATTTTGGTGGCCATTTTTTTGCTAATTTTACCTCTGCCATCATGAGACCCCCCCCCCCACCTTCTTCAATCACAAATATACATCTTAATTCTATTCAAGTTAGATGGGTATTTATTTTTTTCATCATAAGTCTGTCATGTGAACAAGCTTAAAGATGATACCAATAGCACCATATGCCCAAAAATTTACAAGCGCCTCATTCTGCTTCGTTTTGACACTTTTGGACTCGCTTTATTTTTTTTATTTTTTTTCCACCATTGAAGGGCTTGCACCTCCTGCTGGTGGAGGCAGTGAGTAAACTTATATACCTCCTACTCGCCTTATTTTAACAACCTGAGAGATGAGGGATTCTCCACAGAACTCAAGCTGCTAATGGTGGGATAAAGCTTCAGCTCAAATCACTTTGATTTTATGTCTGCTTCTGTGACTTTCAAGTCGGAAAATTATACCCATTTTGTTGGTCGCAAAAAATTGTTCGATCACAAATAAATATAGGATTGGATTTGGTGCTAAAGTTTATCGCTGTTTAAGTTACAAATGATTCTGCATGACTACAGTCGTATGGCTTGTAGACCTAGTATGTAGCGTGGTTTGATTACTAATAGATTATTTGTGGCCTTTATATAGTAACCTGTGTTGTTGTTTGTCACCTGTGTAGAGCTGGGTTTTGGGTTTTTTATTTTGTTTCAGTTGGGGGGGGTTTTGGGAGGGGGGGGGGGGGGGGGGGCAAAGTCGTTGTTTCTGTATTTTGTCACTGTTTCGTTTGGTCCTATACCGTATCGTATGTAATATTTGCTAAAATAAAGATCACTTTCGTCTCCACACTGTCATGCTTTTTTAATCCCCTTGTTTCTCTGTAAAAGTTTTGTTATAAAGAATATTACACTAGTGATATAATATAAATATATTTTCAGGGATGGTTAGCAGGTACTCTGGTGTGGTTTGCTCCTTCTTTCAGGCCTGTCAAACACCTGTTATACTTTTATATCTCCTCCTTTTCTTTGTATGTTACTCGTAAGAGACACACCTGTTATGACCTTTCTTTATTGCAAGTTCCGTATAACTGTACTGTAAGTTCTGTAATACAATAAGATTATACTCAAACTGTTGCAGCCAATGTAATCAGTAAAACAAAAAAAATTTGAATTGGCTATCACTACAGGTTCAACAAAATGATTTTTTTTTTTTTCGGATTTTGATTTACGTAAACACCATAGCAGACAGAAGTACTGATGAAGATCTTTTGACCGACGGGCACACATTGTGTGAAAAAGGAGGCAAGCAAGAGCTGAACTGAAGATTTGATAACAGTCTAGCATTCACATAACAAAATCAGTGTAGCGGGAAATCTTTTCGTTACCGGTTTGTGCAAGTTTCTCTATATTTTAAATACAAAGAATATAGTATATATGAACCCTACAGATGGGGCACGCATATAACTCAAACATGTCGGGAGGAATGACGAATGTTTTCAATACATCCATAATTTGGGTTAACTGGATAACGGATAATGGAAAATTAATCTAAAGAGATAATTTCAGTCTAGGCATGGCAAAATCAAGTACAAGCTATCCTTGATGTTTTCTGTGTTTGTGTTATCTGCGTCCCATCATAAGTATCATACTTTGCAGCCTCTCTATAACGACATCGTCAGGACCAGATAAAATGTTGTTATAGAGAGTTGTCATTATAGATAGGCAACCAAAAATATACCGGGTGATAAATTGAATATTAGGAAAAGATCGGGACTTGGGTACCGTGTCGCTATACCCAGGACGTCGTTATATATCGAAGGTCGTTATAAGAGAGGCTGCACTATACATGTATTTAAGAAAAATTTGGGGATCTGAAAATCTGCTGACTGGCTACATGTATGCGCGTATGAGATTTTGTTAAAGTAATAAATTAAGAGGAGAAGCCCTCCCTGCGCCAGAGAAGCGGCGGTGTGCGAGTGGCGACCACCAACTTTTGGTTTTAATTCTGTTCTACTTTTTGGGTCTCGGATAACACTACAGGAAACCATGTTGTTAGTTGGGTTTTTTTTATTTCCAATAAATTTCTTGAAGGTTGATCCCAGCCCAGAATGTTGGTTTCAAATAGAAGATTCTGTGAAGTAACTGAGGTGGCTGGGCGGAGACGACAGAATGAAAGAGAGGAGGTAGAGATACAATGTTGAAAAACGAACAAGTGATGGCAACTCAAACTAGCCTGGGGCCGCTGGGGCAGGGAGAAAAATAATTGTGGGAAATAACTCTTAACGGTCAACTTTTGCCATGTATTTTTCAGGTTATGTCCCTTACACTAGACCCTTGCTAGTGCTACACATTCTATTGTTTTAGGTTGTCCTTGTTCACACACTTGTGTATACCAAAACAACACAAACAAACAAAATGTCGCCAGTATTCTTTGTGAGGCAGGGGCACCGACTGTGATTGCGTCATAACAAGCTGGTGTAGCTTCCTCCGAGACGTAGCCTATGAGAAACGGGAGCGGAGAGGCGGTCTGAGAATCCTCCAGCAGTAGAAAAATAGCACCTGATGATTTCACCATCATGTGTAATGCGCCCAGCAGGCTAATGTACTGCACGTTGTACTTGTGTCTGATAGTAGTGATAGGTATACATAATATATAAGTTAAACCTCCTTGGTCAGATCTCTACTTTGAATTTGTTTGAGTGGCCCCTCTTGGTGGTAAGTTACAAAAAAATTATTTTTGTCTCAGTTGTGTTTGAGCTGCTCATGGCAATTCTCTCTCTCTCTCTCTCTCTCTCTCTCTCTCTCTCTCTCTCTCTCTCTCTCTCTCTCTCTCTCTTTCTCTCTCTCTCTCTCTCTCTCTCTCTCTTTCTCTTTCTCCCTCTCTCTCTCTCCCTCTCCCCCTCTCTTCTCTCTCTCTCTCTCTCTCTCTCTCTCTCTCTCTCTCTCTCTCTCTCTCTCTCTCTTTCTCCCTCTCTCTTTCTCCCTCTCTCTCTCCCTCTCCCCCTCTCTTCTCTCTCTCTTTCTCTCTCTCTCTCTCTCTCTCTCTCTCTCTCTCTCTCTCTCTCTCTCTCTCTCTCTCTCTCTCTCTTTGTATGTATGTATGTAGTCATAATATATATAAATATATTTATATATATATATATATATATATATATATATATATATATATATATATATATATATATATATATATATATATATATATATATATATGTATTATGTAGGCCCTAGGATGTTTATGGATAGATGGATGGATAATGGATAATATATATATACATGTATCTATATTATAGCAATATCACATCTTTTTAAAGATAGGTCCATAATCTATAAACAACACAGGTATGTAGGCCTACAACAAAGATCAATAATCCAGAAGTAAAATGCTTTTTTACTTTTTCCAAATAGGTCCATAAATCTTTAAAAGTTATGGCTGTGTACATCATGTATATATGTGGGTATTTTGGAGAAAATTGTTATACATTTAGAGAGGAATAAAAAAAGAGCAAACGGCACCAGAATATTGAAAACCCATAACTTTCTTATTTTTATTAATAGAATGGGCTGAAAATTGGAGAGATTATGCTTTTTAGGGCAACTAAATAGAAAATGGAAAAACTAAAGTTGCAATCTCAATACCTTGTTAATCATATGCAAATAAATAGATCTAATTAAATAGGCCAATGCATATAATTATAAAAAATCAAAATAATGGCCTAAAATAATAGACACATAAGTCCATTCTGTTACATGTGGATGTATACAAATCTGTATTTGAACTATTTGCCAAGTGATGATATTTAGAAAAAGTGACAAATAAGATTTTGAATGTTTGATTATGCACTCATTTGAATAGATGCTCATAATTAATTTTATTAATCAAATTGTAACCAAACAGCTCAGAGAGTCGGGGAACTAACACTAACAGGTAAATAAATTATAATATCAAGCTCGGTTTCTTTTAATAAATTTACAATTGAAACTATAGCTCAAATTGATAATGAGCATGATAACTGATCAATTACATAGTTATTTTAGCCCAGCGCAGATATGTCCCCCAACCCCCTCTCATACCATGAAAATATGTCTTAGAATTAGAACAATTGCATTCATTTTCATTTGATGTGGGTATTATTCTGTAATTATACAGATTTCAACATAAATTAAGGATCACTTGCAAACACTCTGAGTGGTCTTCTTGGGTCGACCTGCACGTGGGCGTTCTTGGACTAATCCAGTGGTTTGATGGCGCTGCCTCATGCGGACAATGACAGTGACAGAGTGTGACACTGCAAACTGGAGGGGGATAGCTGGTTCCTCTATTAATAAATCATAATGGTCAAGGTCAAGGTCTCTCACTATTTTCTGTCACTTTCCTTCTCCTACCCAACCCCCTGATCCCTCTCTTTCTTTTCTCAATCTCACCCCCCCCCCCCCTTCTTTTCTCTCGCCCACCCCCACCCTTTTCTTTACCCCCCCCCCCTTCCCTCCGTTTCTTTGCCCCTCCTTTTTCTCCCCTTTTCTCTCTCTTTTTTTAAAAATCTAGGTAGGATCAATAAACCTGTAACTTGTTGACCCCTCCCCCCCCCCCAAAAGAAAAACCACCAAAAAAATAAAAAATAAAAATAAATAGAATATTTTATTGACAGTACAGCGACAGTGACGTCACAGTGCTGTAGGCTGCAGGAGGAGTCCACCGGTGACAACTGTCGAGACAGGACATACACAGCCTCGCGATGGATAAGGAGCTACTGTTAGGTCAGGATGAACATGACGACCAAGATGAAAGCCCAGCTACGTCACGAGATGTCCGCGGACATAGAAACTCCCCGGATGTAGGCCTATTGGTCAACCCAACTCTCGCCGAGGTCGCTGGCGATGGTATTTCTGAGTGGAATGATTCAATACAGCATGTGCAAGACCTCGGACGTCACAGATATGTGTGTGCTGTTACGTCACCAGACCAAATGCCCCACCGTAACAGCATCGAGAGACGAGCCAGTCAGGCTGAGCCGGGAACTGACCACAACGAAACGGGCAACGGTCAGGAAAATTTGAACTTCCGGCAACTTCCCGCGAGGAAAAAGCTCCTCCTTCTGCTTCTTGTCACGGCACAGTTCTCCGCAGACGCCGGTTTCCAGCTGATGGCGCCATTTTTCCCACAGGAAGCGGAGAGGAAAGGGTCGTCGGAAACAGAAATAGGCTTCATCTTCAGCAGTTTCGAGATTGGCATCATACTGTCTGCCCCAACGTTTGGCCGGTTCATAACGCGTATTGGGACCAAGTTTCTGTTTATCACGGGCATGTTAGTGGCCGGTTCATCCACCATATTGTTCAGCGTGCTAAACCTGTGCCCGCCCGGCGCCATCTTTGTGACCTTGACCATCCTGTGTCGTGTGGTCATGTCTCTGGGAGTGTCGGCCTACGTCACAGCCAGTCTAGCCATAGGTGAGATCGCGTCTCACGGTGAATGTCTCAGTGAGACGCATATATATATATATATATATATATATATATATATATATATATATATATATATATATATATATATATATATATATATATATATATATATATATATATATATATATATATATATATATATATATATATATATAATATGTGTGTGTGTGTGTGTGTGTGTATGTGTGTGTGAAGGAGTTTAGAACTACGTTACTTTCAATCTCCTTGGTGTGTGTGTGTGTGTGTGTGTGTGTGTGTGTGTGTGTGTGTGTGTGTGTGTGTGTGTGTGTGTGTGTGTGTGTGTGTGTGTGTGTGTTCCGCTCAATTTACCGGTTTATTTTATATTTGTGAAATAATTCTTTAAAAAATTCACTTCCATCTTCGTTTATACTTTTACTCACAACAAGGAATGAATTAAATGTAGGCCTACTTTTTAAAAATTTCAGTAGGGGTTTTACAGCGCTTTGTCAACTTTCAGTTTGATACTTGTTAATTTTTATTTTTCTTCTAATTTTAATTTTCATATTTTTACACTTTTGAAAATGTATGTGAATCTTCCTTGATGTGAGTAAAGGAATAAAGAAGGAAGTGGGTTTTTAAAAAAAAAAGTAAACTCGTCCAAAAAAGTCAAGGAACAGCTTGTGTTTTCACCTGTCAAATTCAAACTTCAATATCTCACAAACGCGTTATGATCAGTCTACCAAACTTGGCACACGCACTGACGACAAGACACAGTTTGCCTATACGGCAAATTTGCCAGCACCAGCTTCATAGCGACGACGCAGCGCATTCTGAAACACAGCCGAAAAGCATGAAAAATGGGCTAAATTTCTCTGACTCAGCAACATTGGCATAGGGACTGTTAGCTAAAACTAAGCTTGGCACGTGCTAAACAGATGTCTTAGCTGTGAAGATTGCTCACTTACAGCCCTTTATAAGCCAGCGTTTTTCTGCCATGTTTCATTACAACACGATGGTCCAACAACACTCGCTGTCAGACGTCAACAGAGGACGAGCCCTTACCTGGCTCCAAGATGGCTCCACGTTCCCAGTTGTTGCACATCGATTCGGGGTGTCTCCATCAGTCATATAGAGGCTGCAAGAACGATGGCGAGCGACCGGAAGGGTCCCGGACAGGCCTCGACCAGGATCGCCCCGTTTGACCAACAACAGCGTCGACCGGTTCATCGTCAAACAGGCCGTGACGTCACGAACCACCACTGCAAACGGCATCAGGGACCAACTACGGGTGACAGCCAATGTCCACGAGAGCGAGGAGACGGTAAGGAACCGTATCCGTAGAGCCAGGTTAGCTTCTTGTGTCCCTGCCAGGCGCCCAAGGTACACGCCGCCCAACAAAGCAGCTCGCCAATAACAGTGGACACATTGTCAGTGGGACCAGGTAGTCTTCTCGGACGAATCCAGATTCAACCTGCTGCACCCAGACAGGCGATCCCACATCTGGAGGCGCCGAGGAGAGCTGTTCCACCCTGAGTGCATCCAACAGGTGGCGCCCTACTTTGCAGGGTCCGTTCTGGTATAGGGAGGCTTCTCAGTTCACCACATGGCCCCGTGTACCATATACAGGGCAATTCCACCTCGGCTAGGTACACGGAGGAAATCCTGCGTCCCCTTGCTGTTCCTCTCCTGAAGCAGATTGGACCCCAGGCTGTACTGCAGGACGACAACGCCACGCCATATCGCGCACGCGTCGTGGGGGACTTCCTGCAGCAGCGAGCTGTCACCTGCATGGACTGACCAGCTTGTAGCCCGGATTTGAACCCAACAGAGAACATTTGGGATCACATTGACCGGTGGACAATGGACAATCACCCTCCTGCACAAAACCGTCAACAACTCTTGGGCTACCTCGTCCAGGAGAGCAGAATCTACCCCAACAAGTTCTCCGAAGGCATGTCCTGTTCATACATCGACGCTGTGCCGAGTTTTTGATCAAACGAAGTGGCTACATTCACAATTGACAATGTTCATGAAGAACTTTGGCTGTTCAGACATTTGAAATCCGATCAGTGTGACTTAAACTCATTTTACATAAACTTCTCGTTGTTATTGAAATCTGAAATTGTCCACACTTAATCTAGAGAGTCGAAAGCATCTTTTGCGGAAAAATGAATAAATTCGGTTAAACTGTTCTTCAGTAATCTTTCTTTGAATTTTTGTTCCTTGACTTTTTTGTGCGTGTTTTATTATGGGTTGTTTGAGCTCTTGTTATAGAGTTACAACAAGCTCACACTGTGCAACATTTAACCCAATGCCCTCTGCCTTTTCAGTTTGTAAGGACCCACATAAGCTCACATAATGACATTGTGTTCAGTTAACTGAATCGATCCTCTTTACTTTCAGTGTGTAAGTATAAGGATTACATACTATACGCTCACGTACTCTTTTTTCAGTGTGTAAGTGTAAGGACTACACATACGCTCACATTTACTCTACTTTCAGTGTGTACGTGCAAGGACCCACATAATGCTCACATTACCGTACTCTGCTTTCAGTCTGGAAGTGTAAGAACTACACATGAACTCACATTTCTACTCTACTTTCAGTGTGTAAGTGTAAGGACTACATTATTATACATTTACACCTATACTATATATAATACATGCGCTCACATTACTCTACTTTCAGTGGGTATGTGTAAGGACTGCACATACGTGCCACCTTACTTTCACTTTCAGCTTGTACATGTAAGGACTAAACATACGCCCACATTACTTTCATTGTGTAAGTGTATGGACTACACGTACGATCACATTACAGTGGAAACCTGATATAACAGGGATGGTGGGAGTAGAGAAAATGTCCTGTTATATCCGATCCCTGTTAAATCAGAAATGCAAAGGAAAGTGAGCATTTGTGGACTAATCAAGCTGTATTTATTCATGGGTAGTTTCCCTTGCCACAAGTACCCACGAACAGACTTAACAGAGGTTTTGGCACCAATTTTCTCCTTGCCTCCTTACACCACATCAGAAGAGCTTGGTCCAGGGCATCTGCATAGGGTAGTCTCATCTTCTTTCGATCCCGAGCAAACTTTTCATTAGAGCATGCTGCCACTATCTTCCCTGTATCCTTGATAATGGTGTGAATCGACCCTTGTGGAATGTCGAACTGACGACAAATCTCTGCCAGTGGAGATTGCTTTTTGTCAACAGCCTGGATTATTTCGTATTTTTGTCAATTGACAGGCATTTTCTCTCGCTCTTGACATCGTTGGTGACACATTATGCGTGCGTGTTGCTAGGTTTCTGGCTTGATCGAGGTCTGCAGCACACTGCAGCCCTCTCTCCCTTCACCTTCACACGCTGCGTGTGCTTGCAGTGGCATGGCTTGCGTGGGCTTGCTCTATCACTGCGTTACTCTCTCTCTCTCTCTCTCTCTCTCTCTCTCTCTCTCTCTCTCTCTCTCTCTCTCTCTCTCTCTCTCTCTCTCTCTCTCTCTCTCTCTCTCTCTCTCTTACTTTTTACTCATTGTTGACGAGCCCTGGTCCCTGCTATAACCGGTTGGGCTCCGATGAGACCCTGTTATTGCCGATAACTTTTAATATAGACAAACAGTAGGAAAAAAACGGGGATTTTAAAAGTCCCTGTTATTACCGGATCCCTGTTATTACCGGGCCTGTTATATATGGTTTCCACTGTACTTAACTTCAGTGTGTAAGTGAAGTGTAGTGTAAGGGCCCACATGCGTCCACACCAGATGGTAAGGTAAGGCCGACAACTCTACTTCTACTTTCAGTGTGCGAGGAGTTCCCCGGACGACGGACAACGGTGTTTGGTATCGTTGAGACCGCCAGTGCCGCGGGACTGATGGTGGCGCCCTTTCTAGGCGGGGCTCTCTACGACGCTGGCGGATTCGGACCGCCCTTTTGGTTCGGCGGGGCCGTCTTCATCGCCAACGGCCTGGCCATGGCCAAAGTTCTGCCCTCTCAGGACAACACGCCCCGGCAGCGGACAAAGTCCACGCTCCAACTGCTCACCAGCCCTCTCGTGTGGGTTGCCATGACAACCACGGCTGCCACAGTAGCTGGGATCAGCTTCCTGGACCCGACACTATCTCAGCACCTGAAGAGCTTCCGTCTGTCGGCGCTTCTCGTGGGGCTTGTCTACATGATTCAACCGGGTAAATTTTGAACTCAGACTCACAGAGTAAACTGCCTCCAATTTTCACCTCATCTTTGCGCTATATTTTGCTACGATGTATATATAATACTAGCTGGGCCCCCTTTCGATGAAAGGGATGATCGGTGCATTAACGTAAACTGAAAGTCATTGGCCTACTATATTTACACTTTACTGAAATGGAGCAATAAATCTTGAGAGATGAAAAAAAATTAGAAGGTCTAGATCTAGAGATCTATACTCTCAAAACAAAATGCGCCTCGCGAAATATCACGTCTGCACCAGATTTTCTAAAATTACAGAGACAGAAGCGTCGGCCTTCAAACGCGATCGGCGAAATAAAGAATCTTTTTTTTTTTTTTGCAGCAAAACTGTCTCACAACTGAAAAAACGAAGGGCGCAATGATCTGGAGAATATTTTTAAAGAATTTTTTTTGTCGAAAACCGCATGTCGATCGATGCAGCCATTAAAAAGCCTTTTGAATAGCAAAAGTCGGCCACCACAAATAGATATAGATAATACAGTATAACACGGATAGGTCGAACACAGAAGACTCGAAATCACGCCTGCGGTCCCATTTTTTTCCTTCTTTATCTTTGTAAGATATCCCTCGAACTACGGATCCCTCAAACTGGCCGGTTTTGACGAATTTGAGCTCTCCGTGTCACACTATACAGCTTGAGAAACACATGCCACACATGCATGACAACGCTCTCTCAGAGAGGAGAAGTTGTCAAAGTTTTGTCCCCCTTTCGACACTGTCAATATTGTTTACTGTAAAGTTAAGTAAGGTTATAATAGTAATAGTCACACATATTTTATACAGTATAACAGGGATAGCTCGAATTCATTGGGACCCTCCTCGGTTGTTCAAGGAATCTGCAGTTCGAGGGATGTCTTAGAAAGATAAAGAAGGGAACAAACAGGACTGCAGTCACAGTTCGACAGATGCGTGATTTCGGGTCTTCTGTGTTCGACTTATGCGTGTTATACTGTATGCAGAACTTGTACATAAATTTATCTCCAGTAAGATTGGGCCAATTAATCACATTCTTGTAAACTCTCTAAACTGGCAGTGAAGAAATTCTAAAATTCTTCATCAAAATGGTACAAATTCGAATAATTTACAGTTTTGATTGTAATTTATGTATGTATAATATACTTACTTTACTTTTTTCTTCCGCTTGTACCCTGGGGTGTCGCGGGGAGACACAGGTGTCTGTCTGCAGCAAGTCGTGTGGCCTGTAGGAGGGACATCCCATGATCTTTAAGGGTGTCTGCCACAGATTCACTCCATCGTCGCCTTGGTCTTCCTCTGGCTCTCCATCCAGAATATTTAATGTTGTATGCTCTCAGAGCTGGATGGTTTGAGGGCATCCGCGTGAGGTATCCGAACCACTTGACCTTTTGTTTTTCAATGTGTGGTAGGACTGGTGTTGCTCCCACGGTGTCCCTTATGACTTCATTTTTAATTTTGTCTCTTCTTGTTTTGTTGACCGCTCTTCTTAAGCATTTCATCTCGCATGTGACCAGTTTCCTCTCTAGGGCTTTTGTTAGAGTCCATGTCTGGCACTGATATGTGAGCATTGGAAGGAAAATGGCGTTGATGAGCTTCGCCTTGGTGCTCATGGGGATATTGGGATGTTTCAGGAGAGGGTCCAGTTGGTAGCTGACTGCGATGTATAATACAAGGACTACCCTAAACTTTCTTAAAGAGATTGTCTTGTTTGTAGTTTACAAAAATATTAAATTTAAATATGTATAATATAATGATATTTAAATTTAATATTTTTGTAAACTACAAACAAGACAGTTTCTTTAAGAAAGTTTAGGGTAGTCCTTGGATCAACTGTCTATAAAAAAATTAATTTATATTTTTATATTTTTAATCTTTGACGTGAAAAACAAAATTCACCACATTCTACCAGAATGTGCAGATCAGTCAAACACAGTCGAAACAGCTCTACTACATGTATTTAACGGCCCCCTGTCTGGGAAATAATTTTTTTACACTAAAATGACACTACTGTCCAAGACATTCATTCATCTGTCTTTAGTTTTGATTTGTTTTAGTAAGGTTTTTACGGAGCTCGCAACTGCATAATATGGTCATATGAGCGCCAACGGGTGAATGTCAATAGAGAAATCCAAACGGGGAATCATGCTTACTCTACTCACGTCTCTAGCCTCAACAGCACAAAATCTAAAACAACCATTTTTCTCCTTGGCAACGTGTAGTCATCTTGGACAGTTTCAACCGTACTTTTTACACGCATACAATAACTGTTGTTCCTCTACCTCGGCAGGTCTGTATGGCCTGGGGACCCCTGTGTGGGGTTACCTGTGCGACACCAAGGACATCCAAGCTCCACTCCTGATAGGAGGGAACTTTCTCTGTGCACTGGCCTTTTGCATTTTAGGCCCCGCCCCTTTCCTGTCATCCATACCGTTCAAACTATGGACAACTGTTGTGGGACTCATTGTCCTGGGCATTGGCAGTGGGTGCGCTCTGGTGCCGACATTTAGCTGCATGATCAAAGGAGCGGAAAGTTTGGGTTTTGAAGACAACGTCGAAACGTTTGGAATGATTTCTGGTCTATTTCTGACAGCATTCTGCACCGGGGCATTTATAGGCCCAACAACAGGAGGTGTCCTCACGGATCACGTTGGGTTCAACAAAGCAGCGATGGTTATTGTGGGCATTTATTTATTTGTCATGATTGTCAATATTGTACACTTTTCCCATGTTTATTTACAGCGTCCTAGGGGTTTAGCGGTAGAGGTGCCATCAATAAACGCTGATCCTTTGTAGTATTTTGCATTATTATTATTCAACGCAGGCCTACTTGTTCTAGTACTAATAATAAATGACTCATTACATATACAAGTTTCCTTTGTTTCTGTTTGATTATTGTCAGAACATTCTGAGTCAACATTCACCAGGAATAAAAACTCCCAAAAAGAAATTATGGCAGATAGACGATTTTCATCTGCTGTCTGGTCTAAAAAGAGAAAAGAAAACCCGTTTCTCCTTTCCGGGTTCCCAGATCCAGCTACTGTGAGAACAGGTGCCAAGGTAGGCGGTAGTGTAACAAGGTTTGACTGTACCACTAACTGTTTACCACGCTGAGAGGCATTGTCCCACAAAGAATGAGATGTCCTTCCAAAGAGGCGAATCACTAGGTGGTAAGGACATCAGCCAGTACAGGGCACGATACAATTTTTCCCAGAACCTCCGAGTCTGAAACCAGTTCTTGTTTATGTTATGTTCACGGATAAATGAATTCGAAAAATAATATGGAAAAAATTGGGTCAAATTAACCCTATCCATACGTCATGTTTTACTATTGTATACTTACGAAGTGGGGAACTTTGTGCCACCACTTTCCAAACAGGAAATTTGCTTGTTAATCCGATCCGTACGCTTTGCATTATAGCAGTATGTCAAAATGATTTTTTTGAGAAATACTGAAAGTTTCAAAGAGATCATCTTTGTACTAGATCTAGAAGTATTCTAAAATGTGAACAATGCAACCCCGGGGGTGCAAAATGACCCCAGGGCGTATGGATAGGGTTAAAAACATATAACTCCAAGACTAACTACAATCATGTATAGTTGTGTACAATGCCAATTTTCCAAATGAATTTTTGATAAAATAATGAAGGACAGTGTGACACTTGTAAAACACAACAAAAAAAAACCCAACCCTCATTTGCCTGGTCTCTGGGGGTTCATTCAGAGAAAAGTTTATTCAAAGTCTCCAGCTGTACACATGCATCTTCGTCACTCTGCTCTACAGGTAAAGGTATGCCTTTTCTCACTACAAAACACATAACTAGTTTGTGACTTAGCAGACTACGTTACACCTGCTCTCAACACAAACACACATGCACACACCAAAACACATACATGATCATTCATACACAGTGTTTCACATTCAAATAGACTTCAACAAGGAAACAGGAAATTCCCATGAGAAGAAGCTTCCAAGAATCAAACTCAGAACCAAGAAAAACTGTTTGATTTTGACGAGATGAAATGCAGCAAAAGAAACTCAAATACAACAAATAATATTCTACATTCTTGAACAAACATCCGCAAAACATTCAAACCTGACATCATTTTTAAAAAACTTCTAAATCTACACACACTTAATGCTACAAAGGATAGTTTTTCCAAGCCTCTGTTCTTGCTACCCTCTTTGCTTCTTCCTCTCTTGCCTTGTCGTCGATGAACCGCGTCCCCCGACACTTCCTGCCTGTAATGGGGTCAACAACACGACCAATTGGAAAGACCACATCTGCCACCTTATACTCCACCTCAACCGTCAGTTTTTCAGGTAGCTGGAGAAAAAAAGAAAATGATGTAAATATTTTACAACAAATATTCATTACAGTCACTCAGATCCACCATGCATGAGGCTATCAGGTAAAAACTTTTAAAAAAATATAACAAAAAGTGTAGGGGCTCAGAATAATTGGTAGCTTTTAAGCACAGGGGGGCTATCTTGAAAAATGCTGTTTTGAGAAAATCGAAGGTAAAGTTTTTGCCCCTTGTTCAGTTTCCATAAAAGACAAGGAGAGTTTTCTCTACAACCAAACAAATATACACACAAATGGAACCAAACTTCTCCTATAGGTAGGGCAATGCCCACTTTTAGTGTAAGTCAAGATTTCCGGACACCCCCTAAATCTGGGTTAGCCCGCTTGTCCTTAAAAGCGACCACTTACTCACTCAACAACAAGAATTGTTGGGTTTGGTATAGTATTTTAAACATTTTTTTTTTCGCTTCAGCAAGAGTTTTACAGCACTTTCAACACAAACATGTCATATAAGGTCATACATGTATATATAAGTACGAAAGATTTGATGCCACTAGGGAAAGTATCGTATGAAGAAAAGAAGAATGAAACCACACAACAGTACCCACCAACCGCCCAGTTTGGTTTTAAAATTTTTTAAAAGAAGCACATTGGAAAAAGTGAGGCAGACAGACAAAAACACCTAAAGGAAAGAAAAATCATGGACTCTCAGGCTATGATAACTACTGTTTGGCGACAAACAAAAACCTACATACACACACACACTCTCACACATACATACACACACACACACAAAGATGCACAGACATGCACACACACACACACACACCAATAATAATACAGAGCTACTTGTTATAGAACAGCATGCATCAAAATTCTTCTCTGAAAAAGAAACATAACACGTGAGGCATGTGAACAAAATGAGTTACTCCTCATATAAAATAGCCTTGTGGGAATAGAATTTTATATGTATATATATAATGCCGATGTCCGACTCTAACCGTGTTAGTGCACGAGAGTTCATTTTGAGAAAAACGAAAAAAAACGTTTTAAAATTCTCTTATTATCTACCAATTAATTATTGTTGCTGAAATGTTTATACTTTTATACTGAATGATAGTGTCAACATAAATTCGAGTCGATAGTTTAAAAAACTAATTAATTAAGGCGTATGCACGATTAGCGCATATAAATTTGTCTGCAGTTGCACGCTTAGCGCCAGAAATGGTTAGCGTCCAGCACGCTTAAGAGCAAATGTAACCGGTGGTTACACGGCTAGAGGCTTGCACGTTATCTCCCGCAACACTGTGTGGTCAACTTGGCGCTTGACCGTTTCTCGTTCTCAGGTTTACTAGTGGATATAATAGTCTCTTGTTGAGTTTTGATACCATTTTAGTGTCGTAGGCCCACAAAAGAGTTATGTTCAAAATATAGTTATAAAATGTTGGTGGAATCAAGTGCAGACAAACACGTGATATGATTTTTTTAAAACAAACAATAACGCACATTTTCCCTGTAAAATTCTATAGTGAAATTATTACAACCGTGCTTATGGAAAATGTTTAAAATATTGGAAACATACATCTGGTGGCTTAAAAAGTGTCGTACATACATCAATGCAACTAACTTCACGAATTTAAAGGGTGGAGGAAAGCAGAAAAATACATTATTTTAACAGCAAACATGATGAAAAGGACATTGATTTAAAGTAAACGAGTAAGAGTGATTGCAAAGTTATTAAGAAAGAATAAGTCAATTCATAATATCGTGAATAACTAAAATGTCAAAGGGTTTTCATGGCTAATGACATTCTCTAAAATTAAATTACAGATAGTTGCAAAATGAAATCCGTAGTCAAATATAAAAATGCTCTACCAAGAAAACAATCAATTAGTGATAGTGGCTAAGGCAAGTAATACGTACCACAAAAAGGACTTTTTGTTGAAAAGAAAATGATGTGAATGTCCTATTGCAGAGCATTATTCGTGAGGCAAGGCATCATAAAAAGCATGGAAATCCTGAGGGATGTTTCAGCTCTCAGAGGCCTTTGTACTTGGAGGCTGAAGTCTTCCTTTTGTTTGTCAGTAGGCGTTTTGGGTCATTCTCTATGAGAGTGGAGTTTCCTCTCACAGTAAGCTCTTGCCACTCTGCGTCGTGGTCAAGCTTGTAGCTCATCCGGCCATCCGGTGTGTTCTGAAGACATTGGATGTCTACAACTTGGGGTTCGCCTGCTTTCTTCCCGGGCCAAATACTTTTCAAGGCGCATACATCTGTGTAATCCTTAAAGAAGGAGTGACTCGCCTCTGTCATGTACCTGACGTAGTTAGATGGACAATATATTAACATAGCTTTCAATTTTCCCTCAATGGTCTGATGCACACTATCTACTTCCATCTGGGTATGCTCTTTCCATAGGAACTTGAGAGTTACTGTGAAGGGATTGTGGCAGAGACATGAGGCAAATTCATTAGCTGTTAGGCTTTCTCCAGCCTCATGTCACACATAGCAGGTGACTTCCTTTGTAGTGGCATCGTAAATTGTGCAGTTATGTACACAAAGCTTCGTCTTGTAGTAAAGTGCGGATGCCTAGGACTGATTGGAGATCCATTGTCAGCATTTTTAACGTGACTTTACTTGCAAGCGCCCTCTTTTTGTCATCTCGTTGATGGCCTAGTGGTTAGGCTCTCGGACTCGCAACCGTAAGGTCGTGGATTTGAATCCCGTCAGGGCCCGACGTTGTGTCCTTGGGAAAGGCACTTTGCACAAAATTTCCTCACTTCACTCAGGTGGAAATGGGTACCCGGCTATAGACAGAGAACGATCTTGTCAGTTTGATAGTGTTTGAGCGTGTGAAATCCACAGCTTGCACTGTATGCTTCCGCGGAAGCCGAGAACGTTTCTGGGTGTTCTAATAGGGTTTGCTGGGGTAATAATAGTTATAAAGCGCATAGAGCATGCTCTGGAGCATGGATATACGTTATATATATGCAATAATAATAATTATTATTATCTCCTTTAGACTTTTGTGTCTGCTCCTTTCTCTGCCGATGCAGAACATACGTTTCCTCGTCCACATCACCTTCACTGCAGGAGACGCACAGATCACACTGGTCTTTTCTCTGCTGAAAAAGGGCGTAATTGCCAGATTCAAACTCGTTAACAAAGACCTGCCTAGATGATGGTGTTATCTTCTTCTCTACACACCATCTTTTATACTCTTGGTGCACCTCTGCCTTGCTGTTAAACATCGGCTCGATATAGCGTTTTGAAGGGGACTTCCGGCAATAATGGGAGGGCATGGTAGGAAGAGACTTTTAAAATTCCCTTATTGCCACACCTGAGTTTTGGGATGCTGCTGGGTTTCTGTGTTTTGAGCTTTACAAACTTGAGCTCTAATCGTGTGATGAGTAACCCCAGTGGTATTTAGGAACATCTTTTTGCATACTGGAACAAGTCCACTTTCAACATTGCGATGATAGCTCTAGGTGTTACTCCTACTGGAGGCTGATAGCTCCACACGATGTCTACCAAAGGGAACCCTGTGAACCAACGATTTCACCAGAACAAATTTCTTTGAGGCCAAGACATAGCCCATGCCTCTTTGTATATGTTCTGTCTGGTTTCATCAATTACATCACTGCATTTAACCCCAGCAGTCTTGCAGTTGCATCTTTCTCCTAACAGCTTTGTTGGCTTCTCAGAAAAAGTGTATTTTGAGCCACCTTTCCAATGTTTTCTTCCTAAATAGGCTTCTATTTTTGCTCTTTTATTTTTGTTGATATTTTTCTTCCAATTGTCTTTATCCGCCTTCATTTTGTTTTACCTTGGGGTGGTCTCATCTGCCTTTTCTTGAGCCACAGTATTGTTTACATTATAAGAGGGTTCATGAATGTGCCGTTCTCCTCCAGCCACGTCTCCGATGGCTTTTTCATCAACAGCGTTGGAATCACTTGTGTCCTGGTTGTCTCTATCATCCAGGTCCATAATGTGAGCAGGTTCTTCCAATTCTTGTGGTATGTTGTCGGTAATATCACCTACAGCCTCCACTGATTTTTTATCCCTGACATCCAGCAATGAATGATCAGTATTAAAATTTGATGAGGAATAACGAAGGAGTTGCTCTACTACTGCCATATCTGTTTGCCCATCAACAGCTTTGGATTCACGGCGTAACCCTGTTGCTTCTTCGTACTCAGCTATTGGTCTACACGAAGATGTGTCTCCTTCAAAGTTTCTTTCCGTTTCAAAGTTTTCCTCTTCGTCTTCTTCAATAATGTGATCGGCTGATTCCCATTCAAATTGTTGTCCACAACTTGTGTCATTGCACCCTTGCTTATCCAAATCTATAATGTCTATATTTTCATCTACCTCTTGTGGGATAGTACCATCTACAGCCTGCACTGGTTCTTGAACAGTAGCTGCCCCATCTAATAAGGCGAGACAATTAGATAAAGAGCTAAGGGACACGTTTGCAACATTCTCCCATGGTTGAGGATGCTGTCTTTTACTGAAGGCCAATAACAATTCTACTTGCTTTTATTAACAGTCTGGTTTATCAGTACATTATCTGCATCATTAAAGACAAGTTCAGAAAGAGAAATGTCATTCAAAGTGCTGTCATCTGGTTCTGTCTCATCAGATGGGATGGGTGTTTAACTTTTAACCCTCTGTAGAAGTTCAGAAGGACGAGGTGGCGTATAAGCTACTCTCGTCTTTGCTAGGCACACCATCTTCACAGCTCGACTGAGAGGATACATATATATATATATATGGGGAATTCTCCTGAAAACTTGAACTTGCACATACATTTTACTGCAGACACCATTAATATCTTTCTTTATTTCAAATCATAGTTAAGATGAGCTAAGCCGGTGGTGAAAAGGTTGCCGAACCTGGACTAAGCAGAAAATATCCAATGAAATGATATGCTGAAACAGTGTGGGGCTTTTTTGTTAAAAAAATAAGTATTTTTTAGATATGAAAATGTAACATTCACCAGAGACAGTTTTCATATGAAGATT